CTCCACGTCCCACCATGACCCTGGGGCTGCATGGACCACCCCCAGCCAGCAGCCCTAGTGACCGTGGGGCAGGGACGAGGGGGTTCCACGTCCCACCATGACCCTGGGGCTGCATGGACCACCCCCAGCCAGCAGCCCTAGTGACCGTGGGGCAGGGACAAGGGGGCTCCATGTCCCACCATGACCATGGGGCTGCATGGACCACCCCCAGCCAGCAGCCCTAGTGACCGTGGGGCAGGGACAAGGGGGAGGGATGTGGGGCAGGACAGAGCTCCTGCTGGGCAGCTGGGGCAGGGCTGGGGGCTCTGCCCCCCACGTGAGGAGGGTGCCCAGGTCTGGTCCGTGCGGACGTGCCGGCTGCCCTTGCTATTCAGGGTGAGTGGGTGAGGGGGGCAGCCCTGGGCAGATCCAGAGCAGATCCCGCAGGTCTCTGTTCAATAAGGGCTTTGTGTGGGATCACCTGAACCTGCCAGACCGGTCCAGGGAGCGCCGGGAGCCTCTCTCCTGCAAATCCTGGGAGGCTCCGAGCCGCTGCAGGAGCGGGTTCTGAGGGGAGGGTCCCCAGGACACCGCTCCCAGGCCTCCCTGCCTGGGCTGTGTGGTGGCTGCCATGGCACAGGAATGAGCCACTGCTGTCCAGGGGGGTCTGAGGAGGCCCCAGGTGACCCCCTGTATGGCCCCCGGAGGGGGGAACACAGGGGGACACTGGCAAGGCCAAGATTCTCTCTCTGTGCCATCCAGGGCTGAGCACCCCAGACCCACAATGCTCCGGTCAGGGGGGCTGTGCCGTGGAGGACCCGGAGGTGGGAGAGGCTTGGGGCCACGCTCACCCTGGGCAGGGATGGGGACGGGGGGCCCAGCTCACCTCCTGGAAGCGGCTCTTGGCGACCGTGACCCAGGACTTGATGGTGATGACGGAGTCGGGGTGGCAGGTGGCGAGGATCTCCTCCCCCAGCGAGGTGATGCACTCCAGCTCCAGCTGCTGGCACTGCAGGGACTGCATCAGCTCCTGGGGGGGACAGGCCATGGTACTGCCGGGTCTCAGCCCCCTGCACCCTGTCAGACCAGCCTCCACCCAGCGGGGGGGGTTTGAGATGCCAAACCTCCCCACCCTGGGGTGTTCGGGGCCCCAAACCCCGTGTTCGTGGTGTAGTGGGACCCGACATCCCACATCTCGCTGTGGGGACCCCACAGCCCAGCAGGGCCTGTCAGGGGCTGGCTGACCCCAGTGGGGGGGTGTCCTTGGCTGGAGCCACCCAGGGCAGGGGCCAGCGGGGGCTGTTGGGGGCTGGCACCCACCTGCAGCTGGCTCTGGCACTCCTGCACGGCCACCTCCTCCTCGGGGAAGACGCCGTACTTGAGGGTCTTCTCCGACTCGGAGAGGCGCCCCAGGAAGGAGTGCACCAGGCTGTGGAACTCCTCTGCCTGCCACGACAGCAGGGACCTGCTCAGCACCCACCCTGTGGTCCCAGGTCCTGTCCCAGCCGAGTCCCACCTGAGTCCCCCGGCTGCCCAGACCCCTGGACAGACCCCGAGTCCTGCCCCCGCTGCTCCTGCCCGAGGCTGGACAAACCGTGGCACAGGCCCTGGCACTGCACTGTGCCAAGGGAGAGCTGCTGCCAGCCCCGCTCAGCCCTCCTGGTGGGACTGAGGGGACACCCCACACCCCGGTTCGGTGCCTGGACACAGTTTCCTCTGAGCCCCCCCGTGCCTCCCTGTGCCATGCAGGGCCCTGCCCCAGGCACCCCGTGCCACACGGGCACACCTGAAACAGGTGCCTGCAGCTCCCAGCCTGGCACCCGGCCATGGCACCGTGTGACACGGCCCCACAGAGCCCCACGGCCCCACACGTCACCTGCAGGGCAGCCACACACCGAGCCGGGGCACCCCGTGGGGAACCCCCAAATGCACGGCCACACACCAAGCCGGGGCACCCCGTGGGGAACCCACAGCCACACACCGAGTCGGGGCACCCCATGGGGAACCCCCAAATGTGCATCCACACACCACCACGGGCCCCACAGAGAACCCCGAAATGCACACCCACCCACCAAGCCCGGGTACCCCATGGGGCACCCTGGAGCTCAACCACCCACCACGTGGGCACCCCACACCCCTACGGCTGCCTCGGCCTTCCCATACGGGTGCACCAGCTGCAGACCCCGACCCCAAGGGTTCCCCTGCTGTTCCCACTGCCCCCCCGCCCATCCTGTAACAGCAGACCCCAAACCCGGGGTTCCCCCTGTTGCCCCCCCAGCCCCTCCTGTCAAGCAGGGACCAAACCCAGGGATTCCCCTGTTGCCCCCCCACCCCTCCTGTCACAGCAGACCCCAAACCAGGGGTTCCCCTGTTGCCCCCCCAGCCCCTCTTGTCACAGCAGACCCCAAACCCAGGGATTCCCCTGTTGCCCCCCCAGCCCCTCCTGTCACAGCAGACCCCAAACCAGGGGTTCCCCTGTTGCCCCCCCAGCCCCTCTTGTCACAGCAGACCCCAAACCCAGGGATTCCCCTGTTGCCCCCCCAGCCCCTCCTGTCACAGCAGACCCAAACACAGGGCTCCCCTGTTTGCCCCCCAGCCCTCCTTTCACAAGCAGACCCCACCCGGGGTTCCCCTATTGCCCCCCCAGCCCCTCCTGTCACAGCAGACCCCAACCCAGGGGTTCCCCTATTGCCCCCCCAGCCCCTCCTGTCACAGCAGACCCCAAACCAGGGGTTCCCCTGTTGCCCCCCAGCCCTCACCTGCCGCAGCGCAGCCTCCAGCCGGGCCTGCTTGGAGAGGGAGAGTTTGCAGACCAGGTCCCAGCGGGTGCTGAGCTCCTCCACCTGCCGCTGCAGCCACTGCGAGTCCACGCTGCTGCTGCCGCGCGTCAGGTCCCGCACCGAGCGCTTCAGCGTCTTGATGCAGCTGGCACGTTTGCCCAGCTCCTTCTGGAACACCTGGCAGGGAGCACGGGAGGGCTGGGAGGTGCCGGGGGGTCCCAGAACCCTGCCAGGACCCTGTTACTGAGCAGGGTTCCTGCGCACCCCAAACCTCACAGCAGCGAGCCCAGGGTTCCCCTGCACCCTGAACCATCCCAGCAGCAGGTACAGAGCTCCTGTGTACCCCAAACCCTCCCAACAGCAGGCACAGGGCTCCCTTGTACCCCAAACCCTCACAGCAGCAGGTACAGAGCTCCTGTGTACCCCAAACCCTCACAGCAGCAAGCACAGGGCTCCCTTGTACCCCAAACCCTCACAGCAGCAGGTACAGAGCTCCCTTGTACTCCAAACCCTCATAGCAGCAGGTACAGAGCTCCTGTGTACCCCAAACCCTCACAGCAGCAAGCACAGGGCTCCCTTGTACCCCAAACTCTCACAGCAGCAGGTACAGAGCTCCTGTGTACCCCAAACCCTCACAGCAGCAAGCACAGGGCTCCCGTGTACCCCAAACCCTCACAGCAGCAGGTACAGAGCTCCTGTGTACCCCAAACCCTCCCAGCAGCAGGTACAGGGCTCCCTTGTACCCCAAACCCTCACAGCAGCAGGCACAGAGCTCCTGTGTACCCCAAACCCTCCCAGCAGCAGGCACAGGGCTCCCTTGTACCCCAAACCCTCTCAGCAGCAGGAACAGAGCTCCCTTGTACCCCAAACCCTCACAGCAGCAGGTACAGAGCTCCTGTGTACCCCAAACCCTCATAGCAGCAGGTACAGGGCTCCCTTGTACCCCAAATCTCACAGCAGCAAGCCCAGGGTTCCCCTGCACCCTGAACCATCCCAGCAGCAGGTACAGAGCTCCTGTGTACCCCAAACCCTCACAGCAGCAGGTACAGGGCTCCCTTGTACTCCAAACCCTCATAGCAGCAGGTACAGAGCTCCTGTGTACCCCAAACCCTCACAGCAGCAGGTACAGAGCTCCTGTGTACCCCAAACCCTCACAGCAGTGAGCCCAGGGTTCCCCTGCACCCCAACCCTTCCCAGCAGCAGGTACAGAACTCCCGTGTACCCCAAACCCTCACAGCAGTGGGGTACACAGGGCCCCCCAGTGATGCCCCCAGGATGGGGGGCACAAGCTGGGGCCAAACAGGGACTGCTCCGGGTGAGCAAAGGCCTGTCCCGTGCCTGGGTCCCGTCCCGGATGGAGGGTGGGCACAGCGGGAGCAGAGCCCAGGGCTCCCCGAGGGCTGACACCAGGCAAGGCCCTCCACGCCCCCCGGGACACCCACCTTGTGCTTGTCCACGAGGTCCCCGACCAGGTCCCGGTCCCCCCCGACGGGCACGTCCTCGCTGAGCTGCGGCTCGGCGCGGTACAGCCAGTCCATGAGCGCCTGCAGCGCGTCCGTGAACTTGCCCGAGAAGAGCAGGTTCTCCTCCAGCTTGTGCTGCCTGCCGGGGGGGCACAGGGGATGTCACAGCACCCAGGTGCTGGGGGCACCCACAGAGCCGGGTACGGCCACCCCACAGAGCTGGGTACGGCCACCCCACAGAGCCGGGTATGGCCACCCCACAGAGCTGGGTACAGCCACCCCACAGAGCTGGGTATGGCCACCCCACAGAGCCGGGTACGGCCACCCCACAGAGCTGGCAGTGCCATTATGGACAGGGAAAGGGCCTGGCAGTGCCATTATGGACAGGGAACGGTCCTGGTAGTGCCATTATGGACAGGGAACGGTCCTGGCAGTGCTGTTATGGACAGGGACAGGTCCTGGCAGTGCTGTTATGGACAGGGACAGGTCCTGGCAGTGCTGTTATGGACAGGGACAGGTCCTGGCAGTGCCATTACAGAAACAGACAGGCCCTGGCAGTGCTGTTATGGACAAAGACAAGTACTGGCAGCACCATTAGGGACAGGGACAGGGACATGCCCTGGCAGTGCCCTTAAGGGACAGGGCCTGGCTGCACCCCAGCAGCAGCAGTGCTGGGTGTGGGGGTCCCAGAGCAGGGAGTGGGATGCTCAGGGAGGAAGGGCAGTGCCATGTTCTTGCCTGGGACCCCCAGAGCGAGCAGAGAACAGGCAGTGCCATCCCATTCCATCCCGTGCCATTCCCGTCCCATCCCACCGGCATCCCAAGCCCTTCCCCGCCCCACGCCCATTCCAAGCCATCCCCGTCCCCGTCCCATTCCCACCTCTCCGCGGCGCGGCTGCACAGCGCATCCCAGCGCTCCTTGAGCTCCCCCAGCAGCTCCTCCAGCGGCTGCAGGTCCTGGGGGAGCCGGGCCCCCTCCCGCAGTGCCCGCCCGCTCCGCAGGGTCGCCTCGTACACCGGACGCTTCACCCGCAGCACCTTCTGGAACGCCTGGGGGGCCACGGGCGGGTGCTGAGACCCCCAGCTCGGGGAGACTCCCCCTGCTCCCCCCAGTGCTGCGGGAGGTTGGGGTGCCGACATCCCTCAGCCCTCCCGGGTCTCCTCACTTTGCAGAACAGCCCTGGGAAGATGTCTGAGCCGCCCCGCCCCCCCCCCCTCCCTCCACAGCACTCGGGATCCTCCCTCTGGAGCCCCCAGCCCCCCAGCTCTGCTCCCCACAGCCCTCCTGGGAGCCCTTTGTGCCTGGGAGCAGGGCAGCCTCACCTTGTGCTCAGCCAGCTGGCACTTGATCTCCTCCTGGCTGGTGGGAGCGTCCTGCGGCTCCTCCAGGCTCTGCTCCACCTCGTCCATCCAGTCCAGGAGCAGCCGCCGGGACTCGCTGAACTGCAAGGAGGGATGGTTTGGGGAGGGCTGCGGGGGGGCTGCGGGGGCAAAGCGTGGCTGGGGCAACCCAGGCAGGAGCCACGGAGCCACACAAGGGAGTGGCACAGCCCTGGCACCACTTCGGGGCAAACCATGGGCCAGCACAGCACAGTGACATCACCAGAGCCTGCTCCCAGCAGGACCTGTGTCATGGAATCATCAGTCCCAGGAGGGTTCGGGTTGGAGGGACCTTAAAGCCCATCCAGTGCCACCCCCTGCCATGGGCAGGGACAGCTCCCACTAGCCCAGGTTGCTTCTAGCCCTGTCCAACCTGGCCTTGGACACTCGCAGGGATGGGGCAGCCACAGCTTCTCTGGGCAGAGACCCTGTGCCAGGGCCTCCCCACCCTCACAGCCAAGGATTTCCTCCCAGTATCCCATCTAACCCAGCTCTCTGGCAGTGGGAAGCCATTCCCCCTTGTCCTGGCACTCCAGGCCCTTGTCCAAAGCAAACCGAGGGGCAGAGCCCCCTCCCCAACCCCCGGGGCCAGCGGGCCACGCCCACGGTACCTGTTTGCTGCGCTTTCGTGCCTCCTCCAGCGCTGCCCCCCTCTCAGCTGCCCTCTGCAGCACCTTGCCCAGGCGTTCCCGCGCCGCCAGCACCAGGTTCTGGATGACGGCCCCGTCCTGCTTCCTGCTGAAATCCTTCAGGCGCGCGGCCACGGCCTCCAGCCCGCCCAGCTTCTCCCCGTGGGCATTCGCCTCCTTCACCAGGGCCTGCGGGGAGGGGGCAGCTGTGGGTGGGTGGTCCTGGGGCAAGTGGGGAGCCCCTGGGAACGGCCGATGCCGGGATGGGACACGGAGCCCCCCGGCACGGCTTGCACCGGGATGGGACACGGAGCCCACTTCCTCCTCTGCTGCAGGGACAGACGTCCCACCCACAGCCCAGAGCAGATCTCTTTGTGGGTGCCACACGGGACCCCTTCGAGGAGACCCCGGCCCCATGAACCAGCCCCGGGGAGATTTGTCTGCCACTGCCAGTGCCACACGGGAGCCCTCTGTGCAGACCCCAGCCCCATGAACCAGCCGGCAGAGATGTCCCTGTCGGTGCCCTCTGTGCAGACCCCAGCCCCATGAACCAGCCGGCAGAGATGTCCCTGTCGGTGCCCTCTGTGCAGACCCCAGCCCCATGAACCAGCCGGCAGAGATGTCCCTGTCGGTGCCCTCTGTGCAGACCCCAGCCCCATGACCCAGCCGGGGGAGATCTCCCTGTCGGTGCCCTCTGTTCAGACCCCAGCCCCATGACCCAGCCGGGGGAGATCTCCCTGTCGGTGCCCTCTGTGCAGACCCCAGCCCCACGAATCAAGCCCCGGAGCACCGCACCGGCTCCTCCCTCCCTTGCCTTGTGCTCCTGGATCTGGGCGGTGACGGTGTCGAGGACGAAGCTGGGGGGCGCGGGGGACCCCAGCAGCTCCTCGGCGTGGGCCACCCAGCGCAGCAGCTCCTGGGCGGAGCCGTGGAACTCGGTGGTGACCGTGAGCCCCTCGGCCAGGCGCTCCTGCGGGGGGGACGGGCGCTGACGGGGGCGGGCACCCCCCGCCCCGGGGCCGAGGCCGGTCAGGGTGAGCCCCCCCGGGGTCGGAGCCCCCCCGGGGTCGGAGCCCCCCGCCCCACACACCTTCCTCTCCTGCGCCTCGGCCTGGACGCTCTCCCACTTCTGCTCCAGGATCCGCAGGCTGTGCTCGGTGCTGCAGGGCCGCCCGGCACGGCACGACTCCAGCAGCCGCTGCAGCCGCTCCCGCAGCCCCCGGTACGGCACCGCCCGCGCCTCCAGCTCCCGGCACAGCTCCTGCCGGGCACACCGGGCACGCCGGGTCAGCGGGGCCGGGGTGGGGACGGGGACAGGGAACAGGGAACGGGATGAGGAAGAGGACAGGGATTGGGATGAAGAGGGTGACAGGGATGAGGAAGGGGTCAGGGACGGTGAACAAGAGACGGGGACAGAGACTGGGATGGGGACAGGAACAGGGTCAGGGACAGGGAACAAAGACAGGGATGGCTCCTGCTCTGCCTCAGGGAGCTAGAGGAGAGTGGAGAGGGGTACCAGGCTCTGTCTGGTCAGGGAGAGGAGGCAGCAGAGAAGGGTCTTGGCCTCTCGGTGTGGTTTTGGGGGACACATCCCCCTGAGGCACCCCGGGGCCCGGCCCGGTGCCGGTGCTCACCAGGTGTGCGTTGAGCTTCTCTTTGGTGGCATCCGGGTGGCCCCAGACCGGCTTGGAGCAGAAGAGCTGCAGCTCCACCTGCTCCAGCCACTGCAGCAGCTCCGTGATCTCCAGGGTGATGTCCTGCACCTGGGGGCGAGGGGGGGCTCAGCGCCGGCCCCACGGCCCGGCAGCGCCGCGGCCCCGCGCCCGTACCTGGCTGAGGTTGTTCTCCAGCTCCAGCTGCCGGCTCTCGGTCTCGCTGCGCACCAGGTCCCAGCGCTGCCCCAGCTGCTGGAGGCTGCGCTGCAGCCCCTCCACGCTCTCCCCCAGGCTGGACAGCAGCAGCCCCTGCCCGGCCTCGGTCACGGACTGCACCGTGCGGGCGTGGGACATCACGTCTGTCCGCAGCACCTGCACAGGGGCGGGGGGGTCACGGCTGGGACCGCAGCGGGGGCACCCCACACCCCACCGGCTGTGCTGCACAAAACTCCTCGCTCTGAGTGCCCGGGACACCTCTGCCACCCGGGTCATCGCTGCCACCGTGGTGCTGGGGTCTGGGGGTGCCACGCACAGGGAGGACAACACCCGGGGGTGCCCCTGACTCTTGCTCTCAGCAGGGCACGGGGCTGAGGCGCCAGATTTGCCGATTCGTGGCAGGGGGTTGGCCAGGACGGGCACAGAGGTGACACGGTACCCCCTGCACAGCCCTCTCCTGATGTGGGGCCAGCCTGGCCCTCGCAGAGCCTCGCCTGCATCAGGCACGGCCCGAGCGTGCCCAGGCACGGGGCCGCAGCACTGGGATGGCACAGAGACAGCTCATTCCTTCCATGGTGTCACTGTGGGAGGGGACAGTCCTCATGCCACAGCCTGCCCAGCCTGGCCACCACTGCAGCAGCCCAAGGAGGGGCTGGGCAGCGCCCTAAAGCCAGGACACACACCCAGGGGGCAGGACCACGGCCAGGACCCCCAGGACTCACATCCTGGGGGTGGGACCATGGCCAGGACCCCCAGGACACACACCCTGGGGGCAGGACCATGGCTGGAATCCCCAGGACACACACTCTGGGGGCAGGACCATGGCTGGAATCCCCAGGACACACACTCTGGGGGCAGGACCATGGCCAGGATCCCCAGGACACACATCCCAGGGGACACAGCTGGGACCTCCAGAATACACG